TATTTTTTATGCTTTCCTGTAAAACAATATTTACAAACGACTTTTGGCACTAACAGTAGTGATATTCATGTTCAGTACGCAGTCGATTTTTTTTCAATCCCGACTCATCAAATATGCAAACTGCATATGCGGAACTTTTTCGCATTTTAGTATTCACTGATGAAAAAACTCGTGGATATCAAACCAGTATATGTTGAGATATTACGGAATTTACAAAAAAGGCTTCTCCCAGAGATTTTATTCTCATACAAACAAATTTATACCTTGTAATATAGATATTTTTTAGCCAATGTAAACGGTGATGGAGCTATTCTGATATCAGAAATATATATATATATATATATATATATATATATATATATATATATATATATATATATATATACTATATCGTCGGTTTATTGCGAAAATTTCTTAATTGAAGGAAGTTAGTCGACTGTTCCCTATTTCATAGGTGATAAATAATCAGGACGCAGTCACTTTAAAGATTTTTATTATTTCCGATTTTTTAACCGAAGCATGGGCCATCATCAGGGTTCCTGCACTCATGTGTTCAAGTACTCAAAACTTTGAGTATTTGTATTTTTCAAGTTAAATATGGTACAATATTCATACATTTTCAGAAATATAATAATTTCAAAAATTTATTGAAAAAGGAATAAAAACATTGTTGTAAAGTATAGTGCGAATGTGATTCCCAAATATTTCGTCCCGTCTCGGCTCGCATTAAAAATTATTTATATTCAATTATAATTATTCATGTGTTTGTTAAAAAAAAATATTTTTTTTCTGTTTGTTGCATTAATAGACCATGTTAGTGTAATAATGCATAACTATTATTTAAATACACATAATTAGGAAAATGAACTTATAATTTTTATTAATCATTTATCATTTTGCTTCCTATCGAAGGTAGGGAAGTATTGTATTTTGACATATCGTCAGATGAAATCATCTCGGGTGGGCGGAGTGGCCGAATGGGCTAAAGCGTGTGCACTGCACCGCCGTTGCCCGGTAACCTGACATATCAAAAAAAAAAAAAAAAGATGAAATCATCTTTTTTACTAAACTGATTTATTGTTTAATAAAAAAAGTGTTTTTATCTAAACCGACATATCGTTTAGTGAAAACCTTTTTTTTTTTTTTTTGAAATGAAATATAGCTTAATTGAATAAAACTTTTAAAAAAGTAATGACTCGTGAAAAAATTGATTTAGTTGAATTTAACTGCATTGTTAAGAGTTTAGGATCTATTCCTTATGCTATAAATCTACTTTTAGTTTTCCTTTAATACATCAGATATACTTTGATTAAATACATTTATATAAGGATAAGATAGCATTAATTTAGTAGATAAGTAGAGTTTTTTATTTTTATCAATTTTTAATAATTACAGCGGTTGCAGGGAATTTTCGTTTGAAATTTGTCATTGTTTGTATATAATTTCACTTGGTTGATTTAATGTTGGTTTATTGTATGAAAGAAATGAATATAACATAACAGGTTATAACTACTTACAAGTTACTCCTGCAACCAAACGAGCTTTACCATTTGATTCAGCACAAAAACAAAATATATATAGTATAACCTTTTCCTATTTGTTTAATTGATTTTAGATCACAAATTTTATTCATTCGTGTAGATTACTTATTATTGATTTTATTTATTTAGTTTTTTAAATACATAAGGTTTGGTTTATCTTAGAACAGTAATAATTTTAACCTATATAAATAATGCCAATGTATAGAATGAGCATCCCTTTTCAATCGGTACACCATTAACAAAATGTTATTGACGGTGGCTTGTGCGTTTTATGATGCTAATTAAACTTTAATAGAAGATAGATAAACAGAATATTTGTATTGTTTCAGAGATAATAGTTAACAAATTTCGACTTTTCAAGACTATAACCTATAGTTTTTATCCTCTTTATGTTTAATTATATAAATATTCGATTTAAATTTGTCAGTGTGCACTAAATATGATTAATCACTGAAACTCAAAAATACATTAAATCTAATGCCAAAGTAATAAAAAATAATTAAATTCTTATCAAATTCGATTCAAATCATTAGAAATATATATAATGGGAATTTCCAATCATTTGAAATGATAAGTTTAGTTGAATTCTTATCAAATTCGTTTGAAATCAGTAGAAATTCATTTTGAAAATTTCATATAATTTAAATTTATAAGTTTAGATAAAAAAAAAAAAATCATGCATATAAAAGAGTAAATTTTTTAAATGATTAAAAATAATCATATTTTAAACAGAAATGTAGAAATGTTTCACTTTTTTATCAATATAAATAAAATCATTATTTTAAATAAAACAGACTATTGATAGATATCCTTAATGATGACTGTAATTTTAATACAGAGAAAAAAAAAACGCACAGAATTGAAAAAAAATAATTGAAGGAAGTTAGTCAACTGGTCTTCATATCATGGATGAAAAATATTCAGGACGCAGTCTTTTTAAACCCACATGTTTGGGTTGAAATAAATTTTTTTTATTTTTTTATTTTTAAAAAGACTGCCTCCTGAATGTTTATCACCCGTAAAAAAAAAAAAGTATGACGTTAGATAATTGTCTGATTTGTCTTACTTTTTTATTTTTGAATTTATTTTACCACTTCTGATCTACGTCAAGTGTACATCTTTAACTATCTTTTAATTCAAATTGTTATTATTATAATTATTTTTCCAATCAACTCTCTTTTGAAAATCGTGTATTTTTAAATTTAAATGAAATATTTAGTGAAACAAATATAATTCTATATTTTGTTAATTTAATTATATATATGGGTGTTGTTTGTATATTAACCGCAATATGATTTAGATTTAAAAGTTCAAAAGGCAAAATATGTTAATAAATAGAATACAATAAGAGATCGAAATTTATAATTTATTTTTAACTTACGAATTAAGCACTGAAAGATTTTAATCAAGTTCTCAAAACTATTTTTAAGTAAATATTCCGTAAGATTATAAGTAAATTTTCCATTTATTTATTTTTTTAAATACATCGTAATAAATAATAGTTATCACGAAAACAATACTTATTATGATGAGTATGTGAGAAGTTTATTATGGACAGTATAGTATAATGAATGGACATGTAGTATAATAATTATAGACCCGTTTTTATCAAATTATTAACATTCGTCTAAAACTTAGTGAATGGCTTCATATTTAGTTTATGAAAATACTCGTAAACGTAGCGTTTTCAATCTAGAGATTGTTAACCTTTGACTACTTAATGAGCTACTGAATACTCTTAAACGCCCATTTCCTTTCTACTTGAATCGTGAGCTAATTTTATCACAAAATCGAGAAAAATAGTGGTCTACAAAAATATTAGGTCGTTTGGTATATAAATAAAGGCTCTGTTTTTCACCAAATTTATTTTCATTTCTCCTTCCCAGTGGCTACGTTTTGGCTATGATGCCCTTTTCAAAGCATTTAGTTAATACAGCTCATTCTATTCAGTCCATACTTGGATCATGGATTATGGAGGTCGTTAGTGTTCTAAGCGTATATCTTATTCTTTCAAGGAAACATTATATAGTCTTAATCATTTAAAGTAGGTATAACGTTAATAGACACTTTGAACCACAGTTTGAATTTTGATGGTAGTTCTTTAAACATGAGTTTAATTGACAGAAAAAAAAGTGGGAAACCTCTCTGAAACAAACTACAACCTTGGTCCATTTAAAAATCAACCGGCATTTGGCTATTGAACACAGGCTGATTTACAAGGAGGGAGCTTTCGGGCTGAAGCCCCCACAAAATGGTAAAATGTAACCATGTTTTATGAAAAAACATATCTCTATAAGTGTTATTGTTCGTCTAATTACATTTAATAGGACTTAAAGGATCAATTAAACACCATTTCATATAAGTTGTTAGTTTTTTTCTTTCTTCCAGAGTAATATATACATAAAAAAAAAAAATAAATTCCCCTCCAAAGTTAAATCCTGGATCCGTAAGTGCTATTGTGGCACCATATCACTTGGTTCCGGCATCACCCTCTTCAGTGTTCTAGCTGCAAACCTATTTATATTTGCAGTATCTTTTGGGAAGTAAAAGATTATTATCTGTTAATGGGTTGAAAACTGTCTTTGACTAATACAGTGTCTATTACGTTTACCTCAGTATGCTATTTTTTGAAACATACCGGTTAGGTTAGAACCAACTGCATGGCAGGGTGTTTTACCTCAAAATACTGACCTTACAAACTTTTTTCGAAAATATTTTATTTTTACAAGACGAATAATTATAAAATAATGCTGCTCACAAATTAACTTAACTGTGCGAATAAAGTATTGAAATTACTAAATGAATAATAAAATGAAAACAACATTGGTAATAAAGGACGGTCTCGATAATCCGACTCCTAGTCCGAAAAAGAAACATACAAGAATTTGACTGACAAGAGACCGGATGGAAATGTCTCTGTTTTTCAATACATATAACTGGAATTGCTTCGTATGGTAGTGTCGAATAGTGTATTACGGTGTCTCTAAACGTAAACAATTAAAACTAGGTGGTCATTCAGAAGTTGAGGAATCTCTTTATATATGGTTTTTGCAGCAGACATCACGAGGGTTTTCGGGTTCCAATTTTCGGGAATATATAATAATTGTTAATATTTTTTTAGAGGCGGGTGACAAAGTAGATTCTAAGGCCAGTAAGATCGGCATGGAACAGTGTCTATTACTGATATTTTTTTCTTACTATGTAAAAATTAGAGTTCTATTGGCTAGAAAGTAACAGTAAAAGTCACCAAAAACTGGGAAATGCATAAAATAAATGAGAGGCAAATCATTGTTTGAAAAAAATAACGGACTAAATGTTTGTGGTTTGAAAAGCTAATGAAAGATAAAGGAACTAATTAACAATATTTTAGATAACATTTGATTTTTTATCAATTGAATTTATCAATCGTAAGATTTGATAAGAGGAGGAGGGTTTTAAAATAATTCGTAATTGACTTACCTAACGCATTAAAAATAGAAGTACCCATTCTGAACGATGCCCCATAGACAACTGGCTGATGTCTCATTCATCAGAGGTGTTTGTAGCAACATGGCTCTCCCCACCTAATCGTTCTGGCCAAACTTGTTTTCCTCAGGCTTATTCCGAGAAGAATCTGTCCTTGAAGACCTATTACTTCCACTCTAAGCTTATTTAGCATGTTTTAGACATTTTATTCGGTATTTCATGCCGATCTATAGTATTCATTATCCCTCCAGAAAAGTCTCCTCATCCCCCTCCCCGTATGCCAGAAATGGTCATGATCGAAAATAAAAAATCTGCGAAGAGAGGATCGCGACAAAGATTGTAAATCTGGGATTTTCTTCCATTTGAGTACTTCACTTCCTTTAATATTGGACCTTTTTATTTTTAGAATCCCTACTTTTATAATATTAAAAAAATAATTAGTAATATATTTGAAAAAATGACGAAAAATCAGAGAAAGAAAATCAAAAGTATTCAACCAAATATCCATATTATTGGTTCGATATGAAATATCGTTAATATATTGAACGTTTAAGGAATATATTGTAAGAATTATAAAGAAAGAAAAAAAAATCATGAATTAAACAGTATTTATAATCAGTCCGCGATACTGGCTCCCTTTTATAAAATTATTGACATTCGTCACAAAATAATAATAATTATATTCTTGGTCGTGAGAGAACTACAAATCAAGGATCTTCTGTTCTAAACGAATAGGTCTTGAGGGAATACAATAATGAATCAATAAAACTTCTTAGATTAAGACACAGTTCCGTCTTATTACTTATCTTTTAAACTGGAAATATTTTTCAAGTAACATGAGCTAATTAAGTATTTACTTATTAAGTAAAATGTTACTTTAACAGTCGTAAAGTTTGATGCTTCACAGATTGTGCGTGTTGATTAGATTATTTTGATAATATTATTTTATATATAGGAATAAAGATGTTTAGCTGATGTTAAGATGTCAAATGTATTAGGATAATTATATAATGTGAGAGTTCTCAACGGGGTACTGGCCATGTTGACTAGCGGATCCAGGATTTAATTTTGGAGGGACTTCAGTCCGAAACCTTTTTTTTCATAAAAATAACTATAATTACTTTGTAAAAAAAGAAAGTAACTACCTATATGAAATGGTGTTTAAGTGATTCCTAAAGTTCTTCAAATGTAATTACACGAGCAATAATACTTTAAGAAATGATTTTTTTTTCATAAAACATGGTTATATTTTACTATTTTGGGGGACGAGAGAGCTTTAGCCCCGAAGTTCTCCCCGCCCCCACGGTAGATCCGCCCGTCGTTGTTATATTTAGAAAAATGAAACAAATACATCTTTGAAGGAAGTAACACATGTAAGCTACTATTATACTATACGAATTCCAATATTACCACATCGATAATATTGCAAGAGAGAGAAGAAATAAGAATACTACAAAACAACAACGGGTACTTGTGAGTTAGCCGGTCGCCACGGACTGATATCCTTCATTGTTTATTTAAACTTCATTTAAACCTGAACACTTATAATTCTGATACTGATATTAGAAATTTATATTTTATTCGTTTTGAGAGACAAAAATGCTATTTAAATAGCGAGAAAAAGGTCCTCTCCTTTTAGAAAAAAGACTTTCGTCGATTTCAACCACTTTTCCATGCACTCCAATTTTTTTAGTTGATCTGTATAACATATGCTATGAGCACAAACTTCTCTCAAAAATCTGTTTCACTCGACCACACTTTTGTTGGATAGTTTCAGCTGATTTTTGCACCACTCAATTGTTTTAAATTATGAGACCTGTCATAAATAAACTTTTTTTTTATTTTTTTTTTTATTTGTTTATTTAGAAATATTACATTCTGTCACATCAAGGACATTTATAATAGTGATCAGAGAAAGCACACTCACACTCTATAAATAAACTTTAAAGCCGTGAAACATCAAATCACCTTTACCCTTCGTCGTAAACCTATGTCCTCTTGTCCTACACTATCCTTTAATAATACCCCACTTATCCCTGTTGAACAAATTCGATACCTTGGACTCCACTTAGACAAATGTCTAACTTGGAATCCTCATACCAGACTGAAATGACAAGAAACAGCTACTACTCCAGCACTTACTATACAGCTCTAACCTCCTAGTCAATTACAAAAGACTCATATACATGACTACAATAAGATCTATTTGAACTAACGGAGTTGAGCTCTGGGGCTCCACTAAGCCATCGAATTCCTCTCGTATCCAATCCTTACAATCCAAAATCCTTCGTAAAATCCTCACTGCTCCTTACTTTGTCACATACGAAATCATCCATAACGACCTTAATGTTCCTTATGTTTCTGACCTGGCCCAATCCAGATACCTATCCTTCCATAACAAACTTCAGAACCATCCAAACCCTCTCGTTTCTTACCTTGCTTCCTCTTCGATCCCTGACAACCCCCAGAGGCGTTTGAAAAGAAGATGGCCTCGAGATCTCCATTTGTAAATACATTTTTAGAGTGCTACCAATGGGTAGTTTCTCAACAATTGATTCCATGCTATTTTATTCCTTTGTTCACATTTACTGAATGTATTTTTACTTGTAATACAGTTGTAAATATTATCAATAAAAAAATAAAAAAAAAACGTGAAAAAGGTAATTCTTGACCCCACTAATCCTTTTCTTATAAAAACGTTTTTCCTGCAACTCCTACGAAAATATCTCCATTTGGTCTTCCAGTCACACTCCATTTGATAACCTTCACACAATTTCATTTTAGGAATTATTCCGTACATCTGAAAATATTACACAGCTTCTTCTTCCGAAGATGGCAATTGCCAAAGAGTTATTATATACATTTTAAACAAAAAATAAATAAGAAAAATGCTGAATACAATTTAATAACGATAAGAACATACAAGTAGCTAAGCTGAGACGATTGAAGAAGAAGAAGTTACACGAGATAAGGAGGTAGGTCCCGTGTCGACTAGCTAAATCACAAGTAGCCAACAACGAAATAACACTACTCAAGTTTTCCTGAAATAGAGTTATCTCAATTTTGTATTGACTACATCTAATCGCAATCGCATATCCAAAATGAAGGAAGCACTTCCTCAACATATGATTTTCCTGGAAGAACTAACATTGAACAAAGACCAAATTCATAAGCCAAAGTGTTACCTCTAATACAATTTGCTGGCAAAACATATTTTGTTTCAATTAGTTTAGTTTTAAATTTGAGGACTGGTTGTTTGGGATGATGGAAATCCAACTTTTAATTTGCATATTGTTAGAAATTTCAGATTGAAAGTATCTGTATATATTTTTAAACAGAATCGAGTTATCGTTTGGAATGTCAGCTATATGACATCTGGGTTAACATTTAATCAACTGATAGTCTATTAATAAGCATTTTGATAATATTACACATCGACCGATAAACCATTTATCGCTCTTTCCATTGCCAATGCTGATCCATAACTTAGTAATTGACAGTTAGTTACCGACAATGTGATTTGATCGGTTAACTAAGTCAGTCAAAAAAAAAAAATAAATAAATAAAAATAATATTTTAATTATAAAAAAAAAATACAGAAATTGGGAAATTTCATCCTAAGAGAATGTACTTCCATATCTATTGAAACATTTTGGCACATTGATAGAGAAATTGGCATTTACGAATATTTAAACTTGGAGTAGTAGTCGGGTTCCTTTCACTTTACTTTACGGCTCTGGGTGAACACATTTCGTCCAATTTATCGGTGCATGTCGACATCCGAAAGAGTTTTGAGATGCGATAGGAACACGACTAATTAACTTTGCCAACAGGACGAGATGTACGACATGCACCTCTCAGTTTGCCCCACTCTGTCATATTTCCAAAGTAATTCTGATGGGATCGGCACAAATTCAAGCAAAGAAATCATGACGGAACTGTATTGGGCTGCCATGAGCCGAATGGCCTAATAGCCAACTGCAGAGGCGTTAAATAAAAAAAAAGTTTTTAAAATATTAACAAATCATTTTCATAACATGTGACCATGTGATATCATTTAAAATCAATTAATATTCGAGATACTTAAACTTAATAAAAATTTTGTTCAGTATTTTGAGGTCAAATTGTTTCAAAGCATTCACGAGATCTAATTCAGCAATTGTAGCCATCAAAGTTAAAAATCGATCACGGCATCTGCTCAAAAACTCTTTAAGTAACTTTTAGCGGATTGATTAATCACACTTTACACAGTAATTTGATAGAATTTTAAGCTCAAATTATTTCAAAACTCACGGGATCTCACCGAATAATTTGAGTTATTAAACATAAAAATCTATCCATCCATTCGTTCAAAACAGCATTACAAAGCTTTTAGTTGACACCCTCCCCCCTCCACTACGAACACATTATCCTCTTGTCATTTTGCTTTCAAGAGATCTCACAGAATAATTGATCAATCAGAATTAAAAATCGGTCGAGTTCTTCACTCAAAAAAGAGTTGCAAGGCTTATAACGGACGACCCAAACATTTAGTCAGTCATTAACTCGAGTCTAAACAATGGCTCAAATTATCATTTGAGCAAGAAATGTATGGCAAAATGAAAATTTGGACTGGTACAGAAACTGATTTCTGCTGTCCTCCACAAAAAAAGGAACTGGTAGAAAAATATTTCTCGGGATTTGATTAAATTTGTGGAAGAGACAAAAAAAACATAACTAAATGATTGTAATGTTTTAATTTTCTAGTTTGTTATTGTTAATTTTATATCATCATCATTTGTTGAAAATAATTATCATAAATTGAAAGCGGTATAATTTTTATTTATATATATGTATTATAGTCCACCTTTTTGTATAATATAATTTAAATTATTAAAATGGTTAGTGATACTAGTTAACATCTGATAATGAGAAGTTTACGTTTTAAATCTAGCTAGAGAAACGTACCCCCTTTTGGTTGCACAAGATGATTCTATTTTTGGACTGTTACTGGTTTTACCATGAGCTGGGATTTCCAAACTACGCACAGTGGCCGCCGGCAATGCGGCCCATCATAGTTTATTGTTCTTATTTTACGGCTCTATAACTTGTGTGAAGT